CACCTTCCCTCTTTGTCTAAACCCACGATAAAAGAGAGATTCTTAACAGGGAAGAGCCCAAGATGCAAAATTTCAGGTGACAGTTTTGCCACCTAGGGATTTGCCATTTCCTGCCTAAAAAACTGCTTGATGCATCAGTATGGGGAAAACAGTGGCAATTGTTTAGATGTTGAGGGTAAAAAAGTACTATAGACTGGTATTTCCCATATAGAAATTGTACAGATACTGTTGGTACTGATAGCCCCATAGCCACGATGTTCAAGTTTCTGAGTGATTTGATTTTTGGGTGCCCAAATTGAGAAGCTTCAAAGACCTTGAAGTCTTTAAACCACGATTTGAGGACTTCAATAGCTCAGACATAGGTGAGAGGTTTATCGCAGGAGTGGGAGGGTGAGATTCTGTGGCCTGCGTTGTGCAGGAGGTCAGACTAGACGATCATAATGGTCCCTTCTGACCTTAATATCTATGAATCTATGGTCTGATTTTTGGAAAGTGGGTGCTCAACATTTTGTGAAAAACAGGCCCCCGCACAGTGTTTCATTTTGGACACTCCAAAATTGGGGCACCCCAAATTACTAGTCTTGAAAATCTTGCCTGGACTATATAGTTTCAGAAGCAGATTCACACATCCCTAGTATGTCTATATCCCCTAGTATGTCTATATACCATAAATCATTCTTTATTCCTTTCCTTAAGTATTAAAGAACAATGCATAATCCAAATCTGGGTATGGAATATCTATGGTGAAACTACAGACCAGCTACCATCAACATCACTACAAAATAAGGGTCCTCCACGCAACATACTTTTCCATGCTGTAATTCAAGCAACAGAGGAAAACTGAAGAGCACCACTGTGTAGACACACTTCACAGAGGGCACTACTGCCAAATGATTAGGGAGAGAGCATTTTAGGGCTACAGTGCTCCTCGATGGGAGAGAGGCATCTTTAGGTCACTTGATCCTTTTGCTCCGGGGTTCTCAAACTGTGGGTCGGGAACCCTCAGGGGGTCGCGAGGTTATTACATGGGGGGAGTCGTGAGCTGTCAGCCTCCACCCCAAACCCTGCTTTGCCTCCAGCATTTATAATGGTGTTAAATATATTAAAAAGTGTGTTTAATTTATAAGGGGGGGTCACACTCAGAGACTTGCTATGTGAAAGGGGTCACCAGTACAAAAGTTTGAGAACCACTGCTTTTGCTGAAGGTACAGTTAGGCATGGAGAGTGCTAGGGGCATTTTCAAAGCAGGGGGGGAAGAGGAGTTAAATGGAGACTAGGAGATGCAGGGAGGGGCCAATAAGGAAGAAAAAGTGGTGAGGAAGTGCTCAGAAAAAGAAAAATGTAATGACCGAAAATGCAAACTACACTGCAATTGGCTGTCGAATGGTGTGTGTGTACCTCTGCCCTCTTCTGGATGGAAGTGAAACTGATCAATTGTGTACATGTTAGTAAGGCTGAGCAAATAATTCATAGTAAAGATATCAGGCAAATTTAATCTCTTTTTGCTCAGAACTAGGCTACTATAAGATTTATGGGCTACCTGCAAGCTGGTTTAAATTTAATTGTCTATCCACACAAAGCAACTGGGTATGTGTTCGTTGTGAAGCATCCAGTCAGATCCTTTTCTAGTCCTTCTAATTGTCTCTCTTTCAAGAAATTGATTTTGGTAAAACTGTTCCCCTCCTGTGCTAAACAGGGTCTCATAAAATACACAGACTCTATTGATCTTCAGGACACAACAAACTGGAGAAGTCCTAGCAGGCATAGGTGCATCGCCACATCCTGACACCTTTGCTAGTGCAGACCCCAGCAAGACATATCAGGGAGTTGGTTTTGGTTGTTTTTTTAATGTTGACTGGAACAAGCAGACAGTGAGGGGCTGGATGTTACTTGAGTGCAAACACTGGTACAAAAGCTAATACAGATGATATCAGTGTGCTGTTACCCGAGAGGAGAGTTCCTCTGGGGATGACCTACTTTTATTCTCAGATAAGTGAAGATGCTGGGCTGGAGATTACTAATCCTCCAGACATTTGGAGAACAGTAAACTGGAATAGCAGGAAAGTGCTCATGTGAAATTCCAAAGAAAGTTAGCAGCAGCTAGTAGCTCCTCCTCCTAGCTAACACCTTACTTTACCAGTGTGGGGGCATAAATTGGCAGTGAAACAAGAGAGGCCACAGGAAGTAGTAGAGGTGAGACTCCTGTGCACTTAAGCCATGATGTTGCTTACCCTGTTAGAAAAAACAGGGTAAGCAACAGCATGGCTTAAGTGCACAGGAGTCTACCTCATTGCCTTGCAATGTACCTCCACCAATAAAGAGACAGCACCTATATCAGCAGAACCTGACTTGTATCCAGGAGGCCCATGTCTTCAGGTCACAGCCAAGAGCATTAACAGTGCCAGCAAATAGCCATGCAAGGGGGAAATAAGCTTTAAAAAAAAAAAAAGGCAGGCTTAGAAAAGAAAAATATCTTAGAAGAGCCAGGAGAGAGGTGGGGAGGGAGAGGAGAGAGAAAGAGAGCAGGAGGGAATTTATTACAAAAAAAAATGAATCTCAGGGAAAGTTAACAGGATATGGAAGGAAAGAAACAGGAATGATGGAAGAGAAATGAGAAGAATAGAAACCAAGAGACAGTATGTTAGGATTTTGAAACAGAATATTTGCTTCCAAGTTGTAATTCCAAGGCACTCTCTCTGGTGAGTGAAACGTTGTTGTTTATGCCAGTGGTCAATTTGGCCTCTGATCTAAATTTCTTTGTAAGTTCATCTTTCATTGTGGCATATCTGATGACATTTTTAAAATGTCTAAAAAGTAAATAATTTGCTGTATTTGACATACATTCAGGAATTTTCAGTCTCTTACCCATTTGCTCTAAATGTAAGGCTGTAAAATCGTGCTTGGGCTTTTGGCTGGCATTATCAAAAGTGATACCCTGTGCGTATCATATGGGCACAGAGGAATTCTTGTGCTATTTCGGGGCCAGATAATAGTGAATCTTACACACAGTAAGCCTCAGGTTTGTGATTAACTTGTAACCAGGTTAGGAAATTGTTACTGCTGTTATCTCAACTTTTTTTTAGCGCAGTAGCCCTTTTAGTACTTGCTTTTGACACATACGCAAACAATATCTGCATAAGTAAAGTTTCTGTTTAGTAAATGGCATAACACATTTAATTCCCTTTAATTAAATCTCACTGCAAGATTTATATTGAATGAAAAATCCTCGGCACATCCTTCAAGACAACACTTTCTTCAGAAATATCTGGGTTGAAACACCTCTGATGTTTCTGTACAATTCTGTATTGCATGCAATGCTTTCCAGATAGTAAACGCTTCCAGTTCCTGCAAAGAGCCACACCAATTAACTTCCCATCAAAACAACTTTATTATTATTTTTCATAATTTTAACTGGGTATTTTAATGATCAGAACAAAAAAAACAAAGGAAAACACTTATACAGTATAAGGTCAGTAAGACAAGATGTAGAAGTTCTCTTTCTAATCTTTATTTTACAAATTTATATTAAATACTGTCTACAAGAACAAAAAATAAATGCTTAGAACCATGATTTACATGTTGCATTAAGGTCTGATCCATACTAATACTTGTGATTGTGTTTAAAACAATGCTTGAAATGGCTGCATCCAAACACAGTTAGAACATGGTTTAAATCTATACTTAGAGGCCCCCCATTTACTTTACAAATATATCTGAATCAGGAAACTCAGTTAAAATACAGTTGTTCTCTGACTTGGTTACAACACAGTGAAAAATGTTGGCATGGACAGGACCTTGGTGTGTCAAAGTACCCAAGCTAACTACAGGCTTTCAAGCTTCAGCCTCATTGCAGAGACATCAATGCTGTCCAAACAAAAAATTTCAAATATTTTAAATAAATCATGGAGAACTGTGTTGTAAGCAGGTCACTTGACTTGGTTACATTTGTTGTGTAGCCCAAATGGGCACAAACCATACAACTATGTTCGGTCGCCATGTTGAAGCATTGCAAAGATGGTTGTCTGCACAAGGGATTTTTACTTCAAAAATCCCCCACCAATTCTTAACATTGCTGAACTACTATTAGAATTGGCAAGAGCTCTAGTCTAGAAGGCATTCTAGCAGCTTTTGATACATTTACCACCATGTTAGTTAACATCCTGAAAAGTATTTAACACGGTGTTTAAAAAAATGCGGCCTTCTCCTTGTTAGGGCTCCCAACAGTTCCTAACTGGCTTTGCTGTAAATTAATGCAGTTTCATTGTTTTCATTGGGATTATGTCCATTTACACCAAGAGTGAGTTTGACCCTTGGTTTCTCACTCTCTGAATCATCAGGAAAATTCACTGGGGCAGGGAGGACTTCTATTAACCAATGCCTACACCTGCTGGCCAGTGGCATTACCTGTGTCCTGAGGGAAGCCCCGTGAAGATGTGTGGTGACAAGATCCAGACAGAGAGGGGGGGACACAGAATGAGAACATACAACATCTTTCTAAAAATGCACTAGATTCAACAAAGGTTCTACTTTCCACCCCCCCCCCCACCATCTCTTGCTAACCTAGCCCCAGATTTCATTATCTGATCAGGTTCCCTACTAGCTAAAAGAATATGCTGCATATGAAAGTTTGAGAAAGACAACAGTTTTGTGCAATTAGGAAACAGTACTGTAGGTCAAAGGATAACAGATTAAAGGGTGGCACCTTCTTACTCAGCTGATCTGCTTCCTGTGTGTATTCTGAGTCTTATTAGCTTACCACTATGTCGTGACAAAAGTAGCTCTCCCGGGAACTGCAGCGGGGAAAGGAGCAGAACGTGGGGCCGCCAGGCAGCCCCACGCCAGCAGCTCCTCTGGCGCAGCTGCTGTACTGACCCCAGACAGGGCTCAGGAGATGCAGCTGCTGTGTGGAAGGGTTGGGGGCAGGCTCCTCCTGCCCTGTGTCTTTCTGGTACACCGTACCAGCTATAAATATAAGTGGCGTGGGGTGCCGGACCGAACCACCGTATTTGCACCACTGCCTTCAGGATAAATACAGCTAAGATTTATAGGGATTTATACTAGAAAGGAGGTATTACTAAAATATAGTATAAGTAACTCCAACACAGCTATTTAAAGACCTATGGGCAACATGTATTCTGTTACTCATGCAGAATTTACAAAATGAACAGATTTGAAAATGGGAGTCTCCCAAGTCCTGACACATTTTTAGTAGCTTTAGAAATATGAGCATGAGAAGTACCGTTAAGTTCTAATCATTCATTTCAGTGTGATTTTTTTTTTTTGACATGTAGTTCATTGGAGTGCCAACCTGCAACCCACATTTTTCCAAGAAGTGGATGTTGTCTGGGAGTATTTTCTCAGGAACTCAAGTGCTGCGGACCCAGTACATGATAGAAATCGCCTATATTTTAGCACCCCAATGAAGCCTCATGCCTTCCATCCTCTGCTGTTGTGTTTCTTTTTAGTTCCTTATATTTTTATGCTTTTATCTTATTAGCCAACTAATTCTGTCTGCCCACGGAATTCTCAGTTTGATGAAAACCTCCTGCGTATTGCTTTTTCTGTTCCCAAAGCTTGTCTAGTCTCAGACATGTAGACATAATATGATCTGAGAAGACCAATTTCTTCTTTGAGGTCCAGCCTTATCTCCCAGACTGTGGTTTACACAATAGATTCCCTGGGGAATTTTCCTCTTCACACATGGAGCCATTTCCTCAGCCAAAAGCTAATGAACGTGGAATGTCTCCAAAGTGCGCCATAAAGGCAGACAAGAAGAGTGCGCCCTCTGATTCTCCTGCCTTGGAAAACCTACTTCAGAAGAGGAAAATTTTAAGGCTGACAAAGATTTTTCTCATGAGTTGGTGAAATTCCTTTACATATTCCTTTATATTCCACACACTACATGGATAATTTTGCCTTTATTTATTTATTTATTTATTTTTAAATGTTTCAAAGATTAACTGGAATGTTTTGTATCTTCCCAGACCTGAAGTCCATGGTTCTGTGCTTCTCCTGCAACAGTGGATACTATCTCATTATCACCTAAACCACTGCACAAGGATTTACACTCCCTATTTTGCTTCCACTGTTTTAGATGCCCTCAATCACATCAGTGCAAACACAAACCAGCATTTAGATCTTGGCCAGTAAGTAAACAGAAAGTGATTTTCATCCATTTTATTTTAGAGAGTGTTTATCTGTAGATTCTGGTTTCTGACTGTCTGCGCAAAAGGCACTTCAATATGCACACAAACACTATATGGCGCATCCACAGCAGTAAGAATCCCGACATCCTGTTGGGTTGGCCTAACTCACAGCAAGATGCTTGTTACTCCAGTCATTCCTTGAAGCTGTTCGTGCTCTGTTGGAGTCACATGCTTTTGAAGGCTGCAGATGTGCCTGTCAAGTTTCTAGTGGACCACACCCTTTTTTTCAGGACTGAAGCACTTTGTAGTTGATATACTCCATCTGCTGCAAAGCTCAAATTCAGATACAAACTTCTCCAAATTTGGATGATATTCAGATCAGGGATTGTGGTTTAGGCTCATCTTGAGTCATTAGCCTTTCATAGCTGTATTCCAATATCTGTCTAGAGGTGTGCACCGTTGTGTGATATCATATTTCCACACTGTGCCCAACGGCTGAGACTAAAACTCTCCTTGCTTACTCTGCACATTTACATCGCTTTTCCTGCAATACCCTCCCCTTCTGCATGTGTGTGTGTTAGACACACCAAACCTCTACCTACTTACAACCATTTACTGACAGGTAACTTACATCATTGACCTCACCTCTGAATTTGGCCCACACTCCATAAGCGGATACATCCCAATGAATAATTTGTACAATCCTCCAAATACTAAATCAACAAGACAACTATTTTGGTTTCTTTTTCTTCCCTCCTGCCCATCCACCCCAAAATGCAACTTCAGAAAAACGGCTCTCCACATTCTCCCTCAAATCATTTTTGCTATCCTCCAAGCCAGATAAACTGATTCTCTTTCCCAAGTGTTCACTTGCAAAGACAATCTTCATATCTTTCCTCTAGAGGGACCCTTAGTTATTCCAACTAAAATCAAGGTGATTAAAACACATTTTGATGTAGCTAAATCTTTAAAAAAAAAAAAAAAAATTGCTACCCTCCAGTGGTAACTGTGTAATAATAAGCCATACTGTGGGCCCGATGCTGTATTCCTTGGCAACCAAAACTCCCATTTAAAATCAGTGGGAATTCTGAGTGTGCAAGGAATGAATGCAACAAGATTGGGCCCATTACTGTAATGGGTAAGTCTTGCACAAAATAAATATACTGCTATGTTAGTCCTAAATGTAATTAAATATTTCAGTAGCAAACTAAGTGAAGAGGAAAAACAATCAGCCAAATGTTTTAAAATATGGAGAGTACATAAATATTAAATTATAAAAGGCATATGAAGAGGAAACTGCAAACATATGCAGATTTTTTTAATTTCCTCAATTATTCCTAATTTCCCCACAGCCCTACATTCATTCCTACTGACTGCAGACAGACTAAGCAGTCAAGACAGGACATCGTTCAATAATATACAGCAGTTTAAATACATAGTTTGTTGCTGGTCCCATGTCACAGTAGAGAGGAGTGGAAATCTTATTTACGGATCAGATTCCCTAACTACAGAATCCTGTATACATGTACGTGGTGCTCTTTACACCACTCTGAAGCAGAGTTGAGAAGATCCATCCACCCGTGTCTGTGTTCTAAAGTCTACAAAGGTCTGTTTGTGCAACTCTCTCCATGGAGGAAAGGTGCTGGGAGAGCAGCCAACAATAAGTGGAGTGGGTGTGGGAAAATGAAAAATAAAAAGAGAAGAAATACTACATAAAAGAATGACCACATGGTGTAAAACTATAAGCTGCATAAGCTGTAGCTATAAAGTGATATCAGATAACTGATCCAGTGGACTAGGTACATAGGGCCAGAAGTTAACACAAGAGTGCATTGGTCAGGTTTCAGGGGGTGGAAATGTGTGTGAGCTGTGCCTGTGCTGCAAGCAAACAAATTATTGCCATCTTAACAGCAGACAGGCCTTTTTCAAGTTTGCCACAGATCTGATTCACCCATCGACATCCAACTTAAACTAAAAGGAACGTCTGCAATTTCATGAAGACGCGGTTTCAGAGGAGGCAAGAGGCCGTGGCCTAGAAGGAATATATAACATGGCTGGGTACATCAATGTACTTGTTTTCCGTATCCTAAAAAGGCCAAATACCATTAACTATATATAATACATTGGTATTGAGTAGCTAGAAGATATTGCATCTGGATTACAGAAACCCTGCCCATTATCAACCCCTGTTCTAGCTAATACGTAGGCTTCACTTAGGGCTCCATCCAGCTATCAGCGAAGTGGCATTGCAAGTGAGTGGAAGGAGAAACTAATTTGGAATCTCTCTTATGTATCCCTAATATTCCTCTCACTCATGTATCTAACTAATGGCACAACCTAGAACAAAATTTAGGGGATCACTACTGCAGTTCCAATAGCAATAATAATATATTGTCCTTCTCTAGCATCCGTCATTTAAGGACCTCAAAGCACTTTGCAAACAATAACTGATAAGCCTCAACAGTGCTGCAAGATAAGTCATGGATACATCAGAACACAACTCCAAGTTCAAGGAAGGTTTGAAATTTTAAAGCAGTAGGTATCTAACATTTTTCAAACCTGTTTTCAAACAAAATTTTACCAAACTTACTTCAAAAATTCACATTATGGCTAAAAATTCTCACACTTAATTATCAGGTTAAAGATGAAATGCTGAGGTAAGTTTAGTAAGATTCATTTTGGAGATGTTTTAAACAGTGTTCTGAAAAATGTTTAGATGCCTTCTTCATATGCATCTGAAAAGTAGATACTTATAATGAACGTGTCTTTTAAGCCCTAATTTAGCAATATTAAAAGTGACACTATGACCAAAGTGTAAACAAGCATTAGATATTTATAAATGTAGTTATATAGACAAGACTGAATCCCGACTCCTAACTGCACCTATAAATGTGCTAATTCTCTAGAAAATCTTCCACGAGGGAAAATCTAGTAATAATTGGAGGTATGAAATGAGAAAGGCAATAATATCAGAATTAATTCTTGCAACTCTTAAAAGTATTTGTCATACACATTCCATTAATTCCTTAAGTACTGACAGGCTTGTTAAAAGTAATGTTTTAATGCTTTTTCATATCTGCAGTGAGAATGAATATGTCATTACATTCCTTAGCTACTGTGTTTAAAATGGATTGGAAAGGTATAATAGCATGTGTTGATCAGTCAGGTTAAGTCTCCTCTCAACTACAGCTGCAATAAACTGACATTGTCAACTGATACCCTGAACATTCACGCTTATTTAAACTTTTATTCATTCCCAAAAGCTACCATAAGTGTGGGCAGCCAATGGTCTATCTGTAACTTCCAGGTTTTCCTGAGCTGTCTACTTAAGCATGACATGAAGTTGCATCATCATGAGGCAACACAGTACCATACTATATATTTAGATAACAGTGTTTCCAATTTATGTACCCTGGGCTAAACTAATTCTCAGATCAAAGACCAAGGATGTTTATTACCCTGGGATGTAGTCACTAAGTTAACAAGAAGCATCCTCAAGTTATTATTGTTCTCATGCTTAAATTTCTCTTTTGTTTAGATGTTGAAGATTTTCTTCTTTTGTCTGCCAGTAGAGATGAGAAAGTAAGGAAGACACATTTGTTGTTAGCATACGGCTGACAGAAGGCAAATAGAGTGCAGTTATTTGAATTGTGTATGGCTACAGGAAACTATACTACATTTGTGACCCAAAAACTCATACATAAAGCAACTTCGCAAACCCATCAGCTGAGACTATTCTATTTCAATAGAACACAATGTAAATGGAAGACTGGGTGAAACACTGAAAAAATAAGGCCAAGTTAAATAAGCTTAAATGACAGAGTGAATTCTTTATGTTTTTTCCAAGAAATCATACTGTCAAAGGATAGGGCTTTCCAGACTAGTTTTTCCCCTTGATTTATTAGAGGTGGGGGGGGTTCTGCCTTCTGAGAATAAAAACTAACTGAAATTTATTTGATTTTGGGAATAAGAGTAAATTTTTAAATAGCTGCCCCAGAGGGAAAGCTAGGCGAGCTAAGGTTCCTGTATGAGCTGTTTATTTTGAATGGTGTTAAGAGGACTTGAATTCTGCATGTCTAAAATTTATTGTGGAGATTGAATGTAAAAATTAAAAGGACAAAAACTCCCTTAATGACTGGTCATAGTCATGAGCTGGGAATTTAGACTCCAAACAGCAGGGGATGGTGGGGGAGGAGGTCTGCTGGTGATGTAATGCCCTAAACCTATGAGTGCGATCAGTTACTGACTATCATATAAACTTGTATGTGCTAAAGGGGTGATACATCTTTAAATAAACCCATGGGATGGCTCGACACATACAGCCGTATTTCCTTTCAGGAATTGAGGACATTAGATATTTTGGTGCCAGATAAGGGCTCAATCCTGGAAAGTACTGAAGATGCCTGGGAGGTGCTGAGTACCCTCAACTCTTACTGAAGCCTGGCAAGTCTTTTAAAAGAGGGCAAAATTCTAAATTCAACTGGCCTGTCTACCATGATTTCTCTTCAGCTATTTTTCACCAACCTGTTGTGACAGTCTCCTTCATAAATATAGATTTGGGATATCTTTATCTGGATCTTTAATCTTAAAATGGTACAAGAGAAAAGAAAGAACCATGAGGCAGATAGTGATTGCAGAAACATTTTTGGAAGTCAGATTGTGCTTTAGGACTGTATTAAGGTTGGGGGGGGGGTGACACTTTTTTCAAAATAAATTTGGAATAGTACTGGATACCCACATATCAGAAACTTAAGATGATTGTACCTGTAAATACCTCCCATCTCTCCCTCCTGCTCCCCATTTTATTTGTATTGTCTTGGCAAACCTCCCAGTCATACTTTCCTTTCAGCAACTTCAATCACTGGTGTCAGTAGATACAGACACCTGACATGGTACACAATATAAACTTTTGTATACATTACCCACGTCATGTGACTGGCACCAGGAAATTAAAAATATAGTCTCTTACCAGCACTCCTGTGTGACCAACCTTTATTACATCTGCCTTCCAGAACCTTCTAGATTCTATCAAATTAATCCCAACCACCATCACTTCTTAATTCCACCCTTTCCCCTCCTTTCAGTATCCAATGACAGTTGATTCTACCCACTAGCAATGCCCCTCTATTCTATGCAGGCTCTTGCCTTGTGTCCGCCCTGTTTCTAGTATTTAAAAACAATCTTTCAAATACAGTAAGCTCATGTAAATACATCAGAACCTGAAAAGAACAAAATGCACGCGCGCACACATACACACACACACACACAAAATGAACTCTGAAAAATCCCTGGGTTTATCACAACTCTACTTCAATGGGAGTTTTGACAGAACCAGCGGCTTTAGTGTTTAATGAAACATATTTATTGGCTACAACAACAAGGTACCTGCTTTAGTTTAATTTCAGTAAATCAGACCATTTTCTTACCATATTAATAGGAACTAGGACACATGTCCCTGAAATAACCTTTTCATCAATATTTTGATATCGGATTAGATGTCTGTCAATTTGAGACATTCCCAGATGATATGAAGATTGCTCCCGATATCATGTTATTTCCACCAACCCTTCAATAAGAGTGCAGTCATTTTATTTTATAAGGCTGGTGTGTGAAAATATCCAACCACAATTTTCCATTGTTTGGCATTCTCTATGTGTGGGGGAACTTTTTACTATCTACAATAATTAGTATTATCTCCTTTCCCTAGACTTGCATTGTCATTGCTGCATCATACATAAAAGCTACATCTTCTCAAAGCATGTCCTTCACACAGTACCCTAAAGAGCAGATGTCCAGGACTGGCCTTTAGCTAGGCAGACAGGAAAACATTTGAAATATAGACCCAAAGCATGAGACTGTTTGCAAGCTGGGGGAGGTTGTATTGCTGGGGTGCATCTTGAAATTCATCAGCTTGTGTCACATGGGCTCATCCTGAACCTACACAGTGTCAAAGTGTTTTGCAGTGTACTGTGTGATACACTTTTACATCATACCTGGGTAGTACAAGTATATATATTTACACAAGAATAAAATATCAGCTGTCATTTCCTCCACCATTTAATTTTACTGAATAGCAGAGTGAAGCAGAGAAAAGTGCATAGCTAATAACTTCCAAAGCAGCCTTGCAATTAACTTATTACAGCACTTTCTGAGCTGGGTTAGGCAGTTTCCATGTTTATGTACCTGTCAGTTATGAGGGTTTCAGGACCATTTTATGGAATATGAAGTAATTCCAGTGTAACAATGTTGCACTCACCACTCATGAGCACCCCCTGTCCGAGCGCACGTACCTGCACTCTCTCTCTCTCTCTACCTGTTTGTGGTGGATCTTCACTGACTCAGCCCTCTGGCAAAGTCATACACAGTCTGTCTGCGAGATAAAAGCAACGCAAACCCCTTTCAGGGTACAAGTCCAACTGGGGGCCTATTTCAGCGCACTCGGTAAGATCCTTTGATCTGCAGCCCTATCCTGGGGCTCACTCTCAGTTTGTTCCTGCTCCAGAATAAAGCAGTGCCCCAGGGCTCCATCCCTGGACACAATGTCTTCACCCTCTCAGGGTCTTTCTGGCCCCAGCTCTGCAATTGGGCCACTACAGTTCAACCCCCCCTTCCAGGGTGCCTTAAAGTCCAGGCCACTTTCCCAGTGGCTGCGGGGGAGGGGCCAGGCCTGACCTCTCCTCCAGGTCCCAACCTAGGGACCCTATAGACAAAAGCCATCTGCAACATCCCTTTAAGTAAACTGTGTTGCTGCTGTAATTCCCTGGGCCACTTCCCCATGGCTCCCACACATTTTTCACCCTCACCTCAGGGCCTTCTCCTCATGGAGTCCCAGCAGCCAGCCTGGAACATCATCCACTGTCCTCCAGCAAGGAACGGATCTCAGTCTGGCCCTGCACCTCTTCTTATACTAGCCTGCTAGGCCCTGATTGGCTGCTTCCCACACAGCCACTCTAGGGAGCTCACAGGACCTCTCTACTGCCCTTTTCTGGGGCAGGGTATGGCTGGGCCACAAGGCCTCCAGCAGGGGGCCTCAGGACCTAGTCCACCCATCACATCCAGGTTAACCAGGAAAACAAACACATCTACAGGATTTGCAAGAGGTTGAGTTACCAAGAATTTGTAAAAAGAAAAGGAGTACTTGTGGCACCTTAGAGACTAACCAATTTATTTGAGCTGAGGTTGACATCTTCATCATCTGGACCCATGGAAAAGAAGCCCTTGAGGAATTCCATCATGATTTCAACAATTTCCATCCCACATTCAACCTCAGCCTGGTCCAGTCCACACAAGAGATCCACTTCCTGGACACTACAGTGCTAATAAACGATGGTCACATAAACACCACCCTATACCGGAAACCTACTGACCGCTATTCCTACCTACATGCCTCCAGCTTTCACCCTGACCACACCACACGATCTATCGTCTACAGCCAAGCTCTGCGATACAACCGCATTTGCTCCAACCCCTCAGACAGAGACAAACACCTACAAGATCTCTATCAAGCCTTCTTACAACTACAATACCCACCTGCGTAAGTGAAGAAACAAATTGATAGAGCCAGAAGAGTTCCCAGAAGTCACCTACTACAGGACAGGCTTAACAAAGAAAATAACAGAACGCCACTAGCTGTCACCTTCAGCCCCCAACTAAAACCCCTCCAATGCATTATTAAGGATCTACAACCTATCCTGAAGGATGACCCAACACTCTCACAAATCTTGGGAGACAGGCCAGTCCTTGCCTACAGACAGCCCTCCAACCTGAAGCAAATACTCACCAGCAACCACATACCACACAACAGAACCACTAACCCAGGAACCTATCCTTGCAACAAAGCCCATTGCCAACTGTACCCACATATCTATTCAGGGGACACCATCACAGGGCCTAATAACATCAGCCACACTATCAGAGGCTTGTTCACCTGCACATCCACCAATGTGATATATGCCATCATGTACCAGCAATGCCCCTCTGCCATGTACATTGGTCAAACTGGACAGTCTCTACGTAAAAGAATAAATGGACACAAATCAGATGTCAAGAATTATAACATTCATAAACCAGTCGGAGAACATCAGGAGAGGTATTTCCAGTAGGGATAAGGAGGTTTTAGTACCGTTATATAAGGCACTGGTGAGACCTCACCTGGAATACTGTGTGCAGTTCTGGTCTCCCATGTTTAAGAAGGATGAATTCAAACTGGAACAGGTACAGAGAAGGGCTACTGGGATGATCCGAGGAATGGAAAACTTGTCTTATGAAAGGAGACTCAGGGAGCTTGGCTTGTTTAGCCTAACTAAAAGAAGGTTGAGGGGAGATATGATTGCTCTCTATAAATATATCAGAGGGATAAATACCAGAGAGGGAGAGGAATTATTTAAACTCAGTACCAATGTGGACACAAGAACAAATGGATATAAACTGGCCACTAGGAAATTTAGATTAGAAATTAGACGAAGGTTTCTAACCATCAGAGGAGTGAAGTTTTGGAATAGCCTTCCGAGGGAAGTAGTGGGGGCAAAAGATCTATCTTGCTTTAAGATTAAACTCGATAAGTTTATGGAGGAGATGGTATGATGGGATAACATGGTTTTGGTAATTAAATGTTC